AAACCACCACCACCAGCAGCAAACCTCTTCAGTTAAGATGCTAACTTACTAACTACTGGTGGTGAGAATGACAGCGCTGAATCTACCATACACAGGAGACCATTATGCATCAAATAAGATTGACCTTTTACCTTTAATTTCCCCTCTCTATTAAACTGTGTTTCATGTTTTGGATTAGAACCACTGGAATAAAACTGCTTCTCAGTGTTACTTTTCAGTTACAAACTCTCTCTCTCTCTCTCTCTGTATTTCTGAAGCAGATTCTCTAATGGCCTCTTTACCTCTTTCTGCTTATTAATCTGCCTATTTACCAATTAGATATCAATCATATAGCAGACTTCGTTCACAAGCATCTCTGTAATATTCTGACGCTCACAATGAATCAAGTGAAAGAAAGATTACCTTCTGGAGGCTGCAGTGTTTTACTGTTCTCTTCACACCATCCTATGGGATGAATATCAGATGTCATAGGATCACTCCAAAAGTCTGCTGAGCTGTTGTCATTGTAACCTTCGTAACGGAGTCTGAGCAGAGGTCCACAGGTCATGACAATTGTTGCAACCCAGTAGGTATCTGGAATGTGTTTGTTTGGAGCTTCAAGCTTCATTCCTTTGGAAAACCCACTCTGCAAACTGGTTTCAACCTGGAAGATGTTCAACACGATTAATGAGACAGTTCAATTTTAGATCAAAGTCACGACAACTGTTAGAAAGACAAGAGAGGAAAGAGTGAGAGGAATGGAAGGTATAAAACATAACAGGGAAGAGAGCTACATGAGAAACTGATAACAAGATTTTGAAAACAAAGATAGGCAGGTGAACCAGCTAAAAATGTAAGTAAAACTGTGGAAAAACCAACATAGGAAATGGACACCTCAGGATTTTGAGCCAAATCATCACCTGGATAAACTTACAATAAAACAAATACCTGCGAGTAGCTGGACTATGCATGACCTGCAGTTTAGATACTTGCAGGCAGGAACAATGAAAACAGTCAATGACCACAGTTACTAGAACAAAGATTCCATATTTAAAAAAGTAATTATGAAATAGGAAATTAGGACAATTGTAGGATCAAAGTCCAATTCAGAAAGCTAGATTTAGCCCAGTAAAGAAACTGAGGGAGAAAACATAGAGGTACACTTGCTTGGAGACACCAGACGCAACAGTAAGTTGGGGACTGAATCTGACTTGTGTGTTGCTGAAGGTTCTAAGGAATGATCAAACTCTCGTGAGGTGTTCTGATACCAATCATAATCAGTTTTGTAAGAAGATATATTCATATGTGTAATATCTAGGTTTCGAGATACAGCGTGCATTAGCAGCCATTCTGAGGTCAGGAATGCAGGTGCAATATTAGATTTTACCTGTAGCATGCTGGAGCTTGGTCACTAAGATGTGACCCAGGCGACCTTCAGATCTTTACCTGGGTCTGTGCAGGAGTGGTGGGGAGAGGAAAGATATCTATATTAAATATCATAAAACCCCAAGTGAACCCCAAATACATTAGTAATTATACATCTTCTCTGTTGTTTAAGAGTACAGATAGGATGATGAGCATGTAGACTTGTAAGAAGAAAGCATAATGATGTGTGCCTGCACATTTTTTAAATGAAGGTGAAGTGATTGGTTATATCGTTAAAATAATGTTTCTCGTGTGCTGGACATAAATGTGTAAACAGCATGTATACACAAGAAGTGTCTACATTTTACTGAAAGTTAGCTAGTTAGTAAAGTTAATGATCACAAACAAACATGCTGCATTCATTACAGTATACTGTTTGTTATAGGTAATATAGACAATGCCTATGTTTATAACTAAAAAAAAATGATAAAAATAATTACATGTTTGAATGCTGTAGGTGGAACTGCTGCTGATCCAGTTTCTCGAAGATAATCTTCCCAAACAAACTCGGTATCATCTAGGTCCTCAACTTAAAAACACCAAGGCATATATGTATATATAGTGTTAGAACAAGCCATGGTGCAATACCTAAATCATTATTGTTATTTCAGAATAAGGAAATATTTAAAGAGATCTATCATCATCATCATAAACCACTTCTGCCATTAAGCGTCATGGGGAGGAATAATTTGCGATCCAGTGCACGTTGGCTGCCACTGGCTACTGTCATGCCGTGAAGGCGTAGAGTGTCTTTAATGCTGTCGATCCATATTTCCCCGGCCATCCTCTTGCTCTTGTAGCTTATCTTCTGAAATGGTATTTGATCTTGCTACATTCTAACGAGATGGCCAAACCACTTGATCTGCTGTTTCTCGATGAATCTAGTACAAAGTGTCTTTCCCACAATTTGCCTGGATAGTAAGAGATCTATACTAGGGCTAATATGTCAAGGTCTATTAAAATCTTTCCTTGATTTTTTAAAAATCACATTAATATGCACAAAACTGAACAAGCATTCCTTCAAACACATACAAACCACTCAAGTGTTTACTAAACTAAACAAGTGTTAACTTGAAAATCTTCTGCATATGACATTTGTTTTAACCACTAATTATTTCTTTGTAGGAACTAAGAGGCCTCAAAATGACACTACTGGAATAATGTAAACAGGACTGATTTTCTAAAATTCTACTGTGTAATAATGGGTCAGACACAAGAAACTAACAACAGTCACGTTATCTTTTCCTTCACGTTCACTGGCTGTAAACTCCAGCTGAAAGTCCTGGTCATCTGTCTACTTCTTGTTCTAGTAACTGTACTGTGCATGCACATCTGCTTTACAGATGTGACTTATTTGTATGCAGACTGTTGGTTTCTCATCTCTGATACAAATGCACTCCAATATTTGAAGGAATCACAGCTAATCAGTCATTTTATAACATACTTGTTGGTGTGAAGGTGGGTCTGTTCTACTTTTTTTTTTGGTTCTGTTTTTGTGTGTGTGTTGAGACCCCAAATGAGGCCCCAGAATGCACATGATGAAGTCAGGTAATAAGATACAGCCATTACTGTTTTAGATTGTTTGTGCTTCTTGACCACATTGTTATTTTTTCATGGACTTAACCTTCAGCCACTTTCTTGATCTTGGATTAAGTGATAAACAGGGTGACAATACAGTATAAAGATGGCGCTGGTTGTCACTTTTGCTTTCCTTGAATGATGCTATTATTAACCATGGCAAATCAATATCATATGATGGCTGTAACTCAGGCTGAGCTGTGGTTGCCACAAGTCACATATGCAGCACAGCATGACCCTATCATGAACACAAACAGTTTATTAATATATTGATTAGTATATATATTTTTTTTTAAAGACAGTTACAAACCTTGGTAGTGGCCGTCAATAATCGGAAGTGGAAACTCTGAGAACAAATATAATTAAGTAGGTTTTTGTTTAATCATTTAAACATTTTAGAAAATGAATAATATGTGAGAAATAATTATAATGAGTTTTTAAAAAGACTTTAACCAAGCAAATTCATTCACAATCATTATTCATTATTGTAAATTTAATATACTCTAAAAACAAAACAAAAAAAATTTTTTTTTTTAAGTGGGCAATTTTAATTCATTATTAACTTTCTGTACAGATTGCCACTTGAGTGGCGGATTAATCTGTCTTGTTTAGACATATCGGCACTTAAGTGGCAGATTAATCTGTCTTGTTTAGACATATCGGCACTTAAGAGGCAGATGAATCTGTCTTGTTTAGACATATCGGCACTTAAGTGGCAGATTAATCTGTCTTGTTTAGACATATCGGCACTTAAGTGGCGGATTAATCTGTCTTGTTTAGACATATCGGCACTTAAGTGGCAGATTAATCTGTCTTGTTTAGACATATCGGCACTTAAGTGGCAGATGAATCTGTCTTGTTTAGACATATCGGCATTTAGGAGGCAGATGAATCTGTCTTGTTTAGACATATCAGCACTTGAGTGGCAGATGAATCTGTCTTGTTTAGACATATCAGCACTTGAGTGGCAGATGAATCTGTCTTGTTTAGACATATCGGCACTTAAGTGGCAGATGAATCTGTCTTGTTTAGACATATCGGCACTTAAGTGGCGGATTAATCTGTCTTGTTTAGACATATCGGCACTTAAGTGGCAGATTAATCTGTCTTGTTTAGACATATCAGCACTTGAGTGGCAGATGAATCTGTCTTGTTTAGACATATCGGCACTTAAGTGGCAGATGAATCTGTCTTGTTTAGACATATCGGCACTTAAGTGGCAGATTAATCTGTCTTGTTTAGACATATCGGCACTTAAGTGGCAGATTAATCTGTCTTGTTTAGACATATCGGCACTTAAGTGGCAGATGAATCTGTCTTGTTTAGACATATCAGCACTTAAGAGGCTGCCAACAAAGACACTATAATATTGTTTCATTTGCTAGGAAAATGAACTTGTATGAACCCGTTTGGAAAAACGCTGAGTTAGCTAAATGAAGTATTTCTGCTGTCCAAGCGTGTGCGAGCGAGAGGATTCAATTTGGAGCTGTTTTACAGTGCAACACAATTATTGTATACTTTTTATTGCCATACAAAAATTGTCATAACATTCAAAGTAGTTAAATTAATTGTCTCATGAAAAGACTAGCTGGTGCATAACTGAATAGAGAAGGCATGTGAATTCTTAGAAATAGACAGCTGTGTTCAGTGTTGCTGATCAAGCGAAAAAAAAAAATAAGACAGTGTTGCTGATCAAATAAAAAAGTAAGATAACTACAAAACTTTGTGTGTGTCTAACAATCCTGAATGTGGTGGCATTATAATACTCTTTTATTGCAGTACTGATCCTTAATTAGTGTAGATGTATTCTATACCATTTATCTTTATTTGATATATTATATTCACCATATAGCCAATACTTGTTCTTCAGGGAGGTTTTAACTTTTTCCTGTTGCATGCAAAATAACAATAAAAATTAAGCTCAAAATGAATTGTTCAAATCCCAGAAAAATGCTGCCCTGAAAGAGTTAAGGTAACCAGACACACAAAAATGTAAAGTAATAAAATCATTTGAGCCAAATGAAGAGATATTAAAACAATTAGCACGATCCTCCTATCTTGGACACAAAAGAGAAAATAAGAATGGCCTAAAATATTTTCAACTGGATACAAAAATTACTGACAGCTAGATAGAAAAAACATTAAAAATGAGAGCGATCAAATGCTATGTCTATACAAGTGCTACTGTTCCATAAACTGTGCAGTTAGAAATTATTCTAAGACAAGCCGAGTAAACTGTTGGAGGATTTAATTGTTCAAACGCATTTGCACAAGATTAGAAGAGGAGAAAACAACATTAAATAGAAGTATAACACCCATGAAAAAGCCGCTGATAAATGAATGAATGTCCTTGAAAAACATAAATGCAAAAGTCACAAGATGTGAGATAAGATGAATATGAAATAATGCATCGATGTCCTTGAAAAACATAAATGCAACAATCACAAGATGTGAGATCAAATGAATATGAAATAATGTTGGGAGGATTTAATTGTTCAAATGGTTGTATAAGGCTGCAGATCAGCTAACACCAGCGAAGGGGTCAACATTTGAGAATTACTAAATGAATTGCTTTTCACCGATGACCAAGTAATCATGTCATCAACAGCAGTACAACTACAAGAACATATTTAAAGACTCTACTAAGAATGTGACAATTATGATATGCAGATCAACGTAGACAAAACAGAAGTGATGACATTCTTCAGAAAAGGAAGAACAACTAATATCAAAACTGATGAACACCATTTAAAGCAAGCGAAGGATTTTACTTATCTGGGAATGTTTTTTTTCTTTTTCAGAAGACAGAAGAATAAATAGAAATCCAACACAGATGCAATAAAGCCAATCAGTTTTAGGCCAAATGGCACTAATTTTGAAATGCAAGCATGTGAATATGAACACTAAAAGAAAACTATTGTTACCAACGCTATGCTATTAATGTGAAACATGGATACTTCTTCAGAAGACAGAAGGAAAATAGTTACAAACAAAAATGACATGTTTACATATTATGCAAGGCGTAATGAGGAAAGATCGACTTATGAACGATTTCAGGAGGAGAGTCGGCATAGAACCAATACAGAACTTTATAGATAAACTAACAAATCAAATGGTTTCACCATGCAACAAGATTGGCTTCAGACAGGGCACCCACAGAGAGCAATGTTATACAGATACAGCGGTAACAGATCCAGAGGTCAACCAAGCAGAATATCAGAACACTTAAAATTACAGAAGTGCTCATTCCAGAGATCTCTTCCTGCCCTGGCACGCAAGGCATTCCAGGAGTAGAGAAAAGAAAAAAGAATGAATGAACAAATAAACTTTATTTTCAAAGGGTCACAAACTGATCACTCATGCCTGTCTTAAATTCGGCCCATCCAAACTCCCATCTTTCACACAGTAGATTTATTTTATCAATATAGCAGGTTATGTTCATGTAATAATATGCATATTATGAATATCAAGAAAAAAAAAACATAAAAGCATGGGTGGTGAAATGCATGCGCAAGAAGAAGAAGAAAGTTGTATTGTATAAACAATGCTTCATCGCTTCAATTTCTATAAAACTATTAGTATTCAGTTAAAAAGTCAAGGAGCTTTTTCACACCAGTGGCACATCGGGCACATGATGCTAGACTCATATTTTTATAGACCCTCGATGGGTGAAAGGGGGTCAACATCACACTGACCACCTCTGCTTCCCAGCTGGGTCGACCATGGAGCCAATGTGATTTTTTAAGGGAAAAATCTGACTCGGTGCAGATACAAACTCACAACTCTTGTGCTGGTAGGCAAAGCGTCCAGACGAAGTAAACATGGGGTGACTGCAGTCGAGCTGATTGCAAGAAATGCTGAATATAACATAAAATGAGACTAGAAACGTTTTGTCTGTTCCAGCAAACAATGAATAAAGAGATTTATCGTCATGTAGCAGGTCCTTTGCAGAATGTTGCTTTCATCGCCAGCTCTCCCACCTTATGTACTTTCATATTCAAGGAGTCACTTATATCCGGTGCCCATCTTCTTGTTGGTTGGCTCCTGCCTCTCCTTCCTGGTACCATGCCTTCTGGTATTATTTTTTCCAGTCGGCCATTGCGCTTGATATGACCAAAATATTTCAGCTTTCGAGACAAGATGATGTTTATTAGCCAATCTTCCTTGATGTTTAGATCTTTTAAAATGTCTGTATTTCTGCTCTTCTTTGTCCATGGTATTCTGAGAAAATTTCTATAGTATTTCAGCTCAAAAGCACATATTTTTCTTTATTATGGATTGGGAATATAAAGATTAGAAAAGGATTTGTTTTGGAGACAGATTTAGTGTAGTCTTGATTGTAAATGCAACACTGTCTGTTCATGTCATGTGCTGAAGAAGGTTTTCAAACCACAACATTCACTTGTCACTTGTGACTGTGAATGTAAAGCTGACTAGTTCTACTTTTAATTTGGTCTGATATTTTTTCATGATTCTCAGGAAAAAGACATATGGCTTATTTGGAGAATCATTTAGACAATAAGAAGATCAACCTTCAAGTGTACATGATGTAAACATGCATCAGAGCATAATGCTAGAACACTCTGGAATAAGAGGAACGAGTGGATTGGCTTGCTGGCAGGGCCAAGGTAGGTAAAGGAACAGAATTGGACTGGGCCAACATCTTCAATGCTCTCAAGTATACAGGATGAGAAGATGATTCAGGAGATGACACTGAATCAGCAACACTCAGAAGACCACAAGAACTTCAGGTCAAAAAAGGTGTCATCAAACATAAACACTATACAGGCAGCCAAAGAAGAATAGTAAACCAACACAGAACTGGTGTTATCAGTGCCACACTGAGGGATATACTGAAGATGGGATCTGAGCGCCTATGGACTAGTCCTATGTGCAGTGAGGACAATCTGTCGATTAAAAAACTAACTATTCATCAGAAAAATGTAACATACCGTCTGTCAAGTTCCCTTGAGCATTTATCCTGGCAGTATTTCCTTGGTGGTCAGTCTCCCTAGCTACTTCCAGTCCACCAGGTGAGGTGGACTGTTTACTGCTGCCATCGTCTGGTTCATCATCATCATCATTTTCATACGGTTCCAGTTTTACATGTAAAGGCTGGAAGTGATCATCCGGAGAAACTCTGTCACCTAACCCCCCAAGTCCAGAAGCAGAATAATCATCCTCTTCACCATTGTCGATTAAATCCGCATACTCATCATGTAAACCATCTGAGTAACTATTACAGACAGATGTGGCTCTATTTTCTGAGTCAACTGGTGTGAATTTCATACGAGCATGGCCCACATTTAGCTTCGGTACAGATGACTGTGGGGCGGTAACAGTTTTATCGGATAGACCATTTTCTGTTCTGGTGCTATTTTGGGTTGCTTTTTTGAAATCAAATTCAGGAAATTGGTTAACAGGGGCCACTGAGAGCGGTAAAAAGGAAGTATGTGTGCTGCTGCTGACCAGATTTGTAGTGTCCACACTGGTAACTGCGACTTCACTGCAGCTCTGATCCACATGCATGGACTGGCTAACAATGGTGGTATCTGGTGATGGGTGGCTGTGGGTCACCACTGGCTTCATTGATGTAGCAATACTTAGGGCCGGTGAAGCAAATGAGAACACCGATACTGGCTGTGAGCTCAGAGAAGCTGGATTGCTGGAAATTTCACTCACAGTCATTGAATTACTGGACAAGTGCCCAGTTCCCAGGCAATTTGTCATTTCAATGTGAGCAGCCTGTGAAACCCTGGACATCTGTGAAACCGGAACACTTTCATTAGTTTGGGAGGTGAGGGCCGCAGCAGTATTGATACCTGTAAAAATACTCTGCTGGTTACCCAGAACAAGTGGAAACTGGGCAAATGAGTTTGATATATACTGGTTTTGATGTCCAGCTGCACTGGACATGGTGAAAATGGTAGGATTCATAAAACTGAGTGGTGTTGCTACAGTTGAACACACAATCTGTCCTAATGGCAGAGACTGAGACATCAAACTCATGCCCTGTCCAAGAGTTAGGGCATGGGGGACAGACAACTGTTGTGTCTGCTGCTGCTGCTGATTTACTGGTAAAGCCAGAGACTGCTGTTGTTGAATAGTCAAAGGTTGAACAAACTGTTGTGATAATCCATCTGTTGTGACACCAAACATTGAGCCAATGGAGACTGCGTTCAAATGAGTTGCTCCATTATTTGCATGGTTAGAGGCCATTCCTGAAGATATGTTGCAGTTTCCAATCTGGTTACCGGAAAAGCAAAAGCTTTGCGGTAAAGATACCATAGCACCTTGCGCTCCGGAATTCAGCACTGCAGTTTCAATTGACATTGGGGTGAGGTTTCCCGGATTTGAGGTAAGTGACTGCATTGGAGCAGCTGCCTATAAGAATTGAAGAGGAATCAGCGAGCAGCGTTAAGAGACCTTGCCACTACACCATCTGAGATCCACAATTTCTATTCCACCATCTGTAGATTATTGATAAAAATACAAGTGATCAAGTTGGAAAAAACAAACACACAAAAACATTCTATACGTCTTGCTTGATTCATTTTTTTCCCCTCACAATTCTGGGCCTCTTCAAAATAAAGGTTGGCTCTAGAGGACCCAATGCTGTCTCTGGAAATATGCGGGGAGACCTCAATCTGTTCTCCCCAAAAAATTGCTTTAAAAAATACAAGCAAAACTTTCCTCTGCAAACAATGAATCCAAGTACCCGGGGAATCATGTAATTGTTAAACATATTACCTAACCTCTAAGCAACAGTTAGTTATGCCATTCTGCAAAAATACATAGGGTGACATAGTTAACTGTAAATATTGGTTTGTGTGAGTGCAAGCATGTGATAAAGCATGCACACACACATTCATGCATATATAGCCAAATACCTGGCTGACTGGCATGGGCAATTATGCCCCTCCACATTTTGAAATCAACTGTGTGCATCTGGTTCTGACACTTCATGTTATGACAACATCAATATTTTCTCTTGTTGTCTCCCTCTGTCTCCTTTCCCATAAATCTATCCCAGTTGCCACAGAATATTCAGTTTCTCTTTTCTCATAATGTTGGTAAACAACGATGACTGATGACCACCTCTTTCTGATATTTTAGCTTTTTTCAAAGCCTTTAGCATTCTAAGTCTGCTCATGGAATTTTTTTTTAATTCTTCCGCTGAGATAATAATGTGAGGCATTAAAGGATTTTTTTCACCTGTTAGGCCAGGACTGAATGGCATGTGTTATAACTTACGCACACCTCTCTCACACACATACACTAATGAGTTTACTCATACATATTCATCCATTACTTACATGCATTTGTGGGTGTACTGTAAGGGAGAGGGAAAGTGTATGAGAGAGAGAGAGAGAGATGACAGAGTGAAAGACGTGTGTGTGTGACAGAGAAAGAAACAGACATAGTAAATTATTTGCATATCAAAAGCTGAACTTGATAACATCCTCAAATATGGATGTTTCTTTTCAAATCTGTAATTTTTCAACAATTATAAAAGGCAGAAAACTAATATACTGGCCAGGAGTTTCAATAATAATAAGCGTAACATATTTGTTAACATTGCACATCTTCTACTCCCTCCCTCATAAGCCCAATCTCCATACACACAATCATACATATGCATATACAGCTAGTTTAATAGTGCTATGCGATACTGTTCTGAAAGTTTCTCTGGAACAAAAACTATTGTACAAATTGCCTTGACATTTTATTGCAAAGTGGTTTGCTTTCATTGCTGTTGAATGAGAAAAGCAATGTCTCCAAATTAGACCATTAAATCCTGCAAGATTTAAAGCAAAGGTGAAATCAGAGAGACGGCCAAGCTTTTTTCCTGGCAGTACACAATGGTATGAATATGATATACTGGCACCTTTTTTTAGGCATCCTTTTTTTTTCAGCGGAATCGTTACAGACACTTAGAGGTGTGTACCTGCACCCTTTTTCTAAAGACATTTTACGAAAAGTACTAGCTAATTTTTTTTCTAGAAAAAAGCTGTGGAGATGATTTAAATAATCATGTCATTTGCTGCTACTGTTGAAATGGTCACTCAGAGACAAGAGAGACTCCAGAATTTAGACTGATTTTTAGAAGGATCTATAGACTTTGGTTTGACAATATATCTGACATCTGTGAAGGTTAACATGATCTTAAAAAAAAAATACTGCAGAAGTCAGAGGTTTTGGTTGAAAGACGCAAAATAAGAAGAAAATCTCTAAAATAAATGTGGTGACAAACCAGTGTGAGGAAACCACACAAGTTATTGACATTAACAATAACCGAATGGAAGCTGAATGCTACCAGTGTGAGGAGACCACACCAGTTAGTGACTGACATTACCATAACTGAATGGAAACCAAATGCTACCAGTGCCAGACATCAAAGTGTTTTGAGTCCCTAGGTTTCAGCACATTTGGTGCAGAATTCAAACATAAATGTATAGCCAGCTGATAAACAGTAACAGAACAATTGAGTCACCATTCATGGCTTAACTCCTGCATACAAGACACTAAAGATATTGTGTTAAGGCCATTTTGGGAGGGAATGGCACACATAGAGGTAGAGTAGTAGAGTACTTCTTTTCATTGCAATTTCTTATTATTATGAATTCAGTCCTAATTTAGTTGATTTCCCTGAACCTAAGTTACTCTCAGAGTAGATCCTGGTTCTCTTATCATGGGACAAGACAGTACTATTTTACAATTATCAAAACAAATTAACTATCAGTATTTATTATGTTGTTTTCAAAAGAAGGATGAAAAAAAAAGTTTGTAATTAATAACTTTAGCAAATATAACACAGCCCATGTTGTTATAATTATAAAAAGCATTTCAGAGAAGATATAAATTTAAATAAAACAAAAACTAAAACAAATAAATACTACCATTACCATGTTAATAACAAGATATAACATATTATAAGCAAATACAAATGCCCTATTAATAACAAGATAAACTAGTTTAGTAATAGTATATAGCAAACATAAGTATTCTTATTATCCAAAGGCACACGTTTAAACCAGACAAATAATAAACGGGTGAAAATCAACTGGTTGTTGTTTTGCCGTTTTAGTTTAACCAACGAGTATGCTAGGCAAAACATTTCAACAAGTGACCAAAGGACCTGGCGTTGTATGATATATATGTGGTATATAAGATATTAATTATTACAAACAGTAATAATACTTCATGGATAAATAAGTGACCATGTTCACTCTTTTGATGGTTACCCATTTGAGATTTCAGTCATGAAGAAACAGTTAGCTAGTGTCACAAAAGTAATAATGTAACAATACTGTTTAATTCTTGTAGCGGACGGGCAGGCCGACTTGACTGCTCGGATATTCCAATGTCCTGTCTCGTATAAACCCCAGCTGCAGCAATTTTAAAAGTGTTTTATAATTGAAAATAGCTTAAAGGAGAATGCGATTGTACTTAGATTTTCAACTAAAATATGAGGACACATCGTGATGTGACAAATAATATATGATCAGTTGCTATTCTATTATTTTAAATTCTCCAACGACTGATCTCTGGTCTCGATCTGGTCGTAAGAAAAACCAGTTCTATATTATAAACTATAAACATAACGAAGGAGTCTTCGAATGTCATCAGCTATTTCATTAAAAAACCACTTACTGCTTAACTCCAGTTTGGAAAACAGCGTATTTGGGTGGCCAAAGTAAAGCTGTAATCGTATATGAAAAGAAAAACGTATATTAGCAATTCTTTTGAAAGTTACTACTCAAAATATATCAGAAAACAGAGGGTTTGAAGAACTGCAAAACAAAATGGCAACCCGGTTTCGGCGCATGCGTGAATTTGATCAAATCTGAAAACGATGGTGATACCTCAGCCACGTGTGGTTGTTTCTTTGCACGGTTTTTAATCCACAATTACAAAAACAATAAGCAAACCCACGCATATACGGCAATTATGCTTCCAGAAGAAGACATGACATGCCGTTTAATAGTTAACATCTATTGAGAACGTATGAGAAGTAAACTAGAATTTCAAGAAAAATATCCTGAGTTCTATTAGTTTAGCAATTTCCTGCTCACTGACAGTTTATTATTAATATTATGATATATTCAGTGGTCATACTTTTTTTAAAACACGTTTGAAGTTTGAACACCGGATCAACATAAAAGCATACGGGTAGTAACCCATAAGTGCTCCATTCTTCTTCTAACTCAAGTCTGAGTCCGAAGAAGCTCAACACAGTGCACAGGCTCTGTAGCACCAGCGAGGATTCTGAAATACTTTGGGTAGATTTTAAACTCCACATTTTGGCCGAGCCGCGCCGTTAGGCTACTCTTTTCGATTTCCAACTATCATGGGATTTTTTACGGGCACACGGGCGTCTGATCTCACCACCCAGATACCAGGGGGAATTACTAGAAGTCCACGTGAAAAAATCCCAGCCCTTACCGGGGATTGAACCCGCAACGATGCGGACACCATGCCTCGAGACCATGCAGCCCATTCAAACACGTCTTTGGATCCCAGGCTTAAAATGGTTTCAGGTAAAGTCCTGGGAAGTAAAGACGACTGGCGTGATGTTCGCCGCATCACCGAGGGCCGATCTGGTGTATACAAATGTAAGTCTAGCCTCATATGCCCGATGCGTTACTCAAGCACGCTGCCACGAAGAAAACATTGGGTGTGCTCAGCGCCCCCCCCCCCCAATCACCATCTCACAACTCTTCTGCGCAAAAATAAAATTAACGGAAGACATCCGCCTCCCTAAATTCCTCACCACCTAAGCAACAACCAAAAAAAAAAAAAAAAACATTGTAAGTGAGGGGGCGGGGGTGTCGTTTTCTAGGCAAATAATTAGTGAGGTATTATTATTATTATAATTATAAGTGTGTGGGAAATAAAAATAAAAATATTTAAGAGATAAATAAAATGTAGGAACAAATACTTTTAAAGAAAATTGCTAGGCTGAGGCTAACATATTTGGGCGGGATGGGGGGGGGGGGGCCTCAAGGGACCTAAGCCTCCAAGGTTCCAGCGACTTTGGTGCCACTAATAGGGCCTTTACTTTTAACTTAAAACTGTCAGAGAACTAACATGGTTGCTTTGGCAACACCTGTGAATATGACGACAAAACCGAGTTTGTCTAAGCTGTAACTGTTGTACTAAACATTCGGCCAGATATTGCTGAAATGTGTGCTCAAATATTATATTGACAGGTAACATTTGAATTGCTGAAAGATATTATGTGCATGTAAAAAATAGATCCAGGCCGCTGTATTGTTGTCAGTCTTTCTTCTTCTTTTTCTTCGATCCTTCTGTCAGAAAACTTATATCAG